GGGGGGGGGGGCGGGGCGGAGGGGTTCCAGTGTAGAAGTCGACGTTTTTATTGTCTCAGACGAGTCTTGTACTGATTAGCATCCTCCGTGAGCATGGAAAACTCTACTGGCTCGGGTGAGAGCCGATTCGGGATTTGAACCCCAGACCGTGCACGTGGCAAGTGGCGCCACTAGCCACAACACTACCTCCGCTTAACCAAAATTTCAATATTATTGTGTTATAACATTATATTCTTAGCTTCTGACCCTAATACTGGTGTTAAGAAGAGGATAGATAGCTTAGAACAGATAGAAATGCCTTTTCAAAGCTTGTTCCAAGTTTTTTTCCGCGGTTGTATATTGGAAATTCAGGCCTTACCTCCCTTTCTTCGAACTTTTTCTTGTAGTGTCCGAATGGATCGGCGCTTGATGCGCTTCCAGGCGGTTTCGATTCTTCCCATTCCTTCAGTGCTGCTTCATATTCCTCGATCCTGAAAATTTGGGGGTAACATCAGTGAAAATCTCACATTGCGTTTCTCGATTTACTCTATTCACTCTCAAGCGTCGTGCTGTAATTGTTTCCGTCCCCTCTGAAAGTTGCCCGTGATTTTACCTCATCCACCTCATCCCGCTATGCAAACACTCAATCCATCGCGCACTGTTTACTTCCCAGTGAGAGAAGCCGGTGAGCTTGTCAGATTCATGCGGAAAAGCCAATCAACAATTTTTAAGCACATGTTGCAAATTTATAGTGCACATCCTATTGATGGAGTGGGCGTGGCTGCGTACTTTACTTGAACGTGAATTAGGATGCGTTGTTCGCAGGTGATGTCTTGACGTTAGAGAAAAACTCTTGCGAAATACGACTCCCCTCGAAGTGTCTGATAAGATCCCATTCATCATCACCTACAATCTTCATAATTTTTACAAACCTTCCTACGTTTCCTACCTTTTTCCCGCCTGTTCACAACCGTACCGGTTTTCCGGAGATCTTTTCCCCGAGAGTTCCCCACTTTTCTCCGCAAAAAAAACTGCCGTAGAGCGAGAAAGGGGGGGGGGGACATAGCACGCCCGAAGCAGGAAAAAACCATCAAAAATCAAAACCGAAAACATTTTTCTCAAAGGAAAATATGCACCCCTCCCTTCCTCTAGCGACCGAATACGACTATCCTTCCTCCTCCAGCGACCAAATACGACCCCCACTCTTGCTGGGAATCCCCAACGTAAGACGTGCCTCAGTTGTTTATGAGATGTTTTTTTGATACAAAAGTTATCCTATCCTGTAGTAGACACGGTCATGGTTGCAACTGTTCTGAAACCGCGATATCCTTCTAGAAGCGCAGCTGCAGTCTTTTTTGAACAAAGTACGCAACCACGGACTCTCCATTCCTGAGATATGGAGTACGCACCTGTGATCACTAATTGATCATTTTGTAGCCCAAATTATAAATTTTCGCTTTTATATTGTTAAATATTAACTTTTAATATTTTTCATATTGATAATCTTGTCTTACCACTCCTTTTTCCAACCGCTTCTTTGTATTGTGTTCCTCGGAGTGCCAAAGCCTGTCATTCCTCTCTGAAAGCAAATCCTTTCCGTTTCTTCAACTTCTACAACTAATAAATTGGAAGAACCGAAATACGTGCACAGTTCTTCACTGCAGTGACGTACCTGGGACGCTAACTTATTTGTTCCTGATTGAAGAGGAACGATTCCCTCAGAACTTCTGTTTGAGGTGTTCGTCAATATCCTTTACCGCCTGAAGAACTCTTGACGTAATAATTTATTTTTCTTTCAGGTCTGAATGCATATTTCGAAACTGCTTGCCTTAGTGTGAAGGAGGACATCGCGAACTTTCAAAAATCCTCCAGTTCCAGCTTGTGTAGCAAACTTGTTTTGGCCAGAGTACCACGGAGTAAACTCTGTACCACGTCGTTGCTGATCTTCTCTGAAGATTGTCGTTAGTTAAACATATTCATTCTGGATCCACTGCCACTTATTTACACACTCACGACATGTCAAGACCTTCAATTCGTTGAGTTGCCTGCCGTACCGCACCGATTCCAGGTGGAGCACACATTCCAGTTTGTGAAGCAAAAATATTAGTACCTGAAATATCGGGCTCTTATATTATTTTGGCTGCGTTCATACTTTGCGACAGCGTCCACTAGCGTTTCGGGCGTCTAGCGACTGGGAAAATATAGGTATCGATCTGGCATCTGCTAGCGTCTACCAGCGTGCATCAGCGTCGCCCAGCGTTCGCCCGCGTCTAGCAGCGTCCACCAGCTTTTCGAAGGCCTGGCAAGTGTATAGGAGGGTTACCAGCTCCGCGTGGAACCGCATAAATTATTACTTACTCAGCGCTCCTCGAGACTCTGGATGGACGCCTTGGTAAGCGCGGCCCCGCGAACCGCTTGAAGACGTTAGTGCACGCTGGTAGGCACTGGCAGACGCTTAGTAGATCGCATATCATACATTTCCCATGTCGCTGACGCTGCGGACGCTCGAAATTCCAATGGAAGCTGCCTCAAAGTATGGAGGCAGCCTTACCATTTTGGAAGACGAGAACGCCGTGAGTGCGACGATCATGAGGTAGACGTCCACGAATGTTGGGCACTTGATTTCGGTGAGCACCCATTGAAACCTGTGCATATTTTCTATCTTTGTCCGAACTGATTTTTTTTTCTTGCGAAAGATCATTACCTCGCCGGCTTGGGTGGCAAGTCCGTAGTCACCAGCTTGCTTCGGGATGATCCTCTCGCCTTCTTTTGTCGAGAATTGTTTCCCAATCTTTCTTTGCGTCATGATACTTTGGCGTACCTTGATAACGGCAAAAAATGTCAAAAATACCGTTTGTTCTAAATATTGCTGGTGAATTGTGCTCGATACCTGAGAAACGCGTGGCCCTCGAGCGACGTGTTCCCTATTTCTGCGAAAGCATACTGGTTGGTTCCGCACTGGACTCGTAGCACATTTTCTGAGCGGCGATCCGGCTCAATATAACTGAAAAAAAATGGTGAAATTTACTAATTAGGACAAAATTTTGGGCGCAACGGGGAGAGGGGCAATCTGTACTTTTGCTGCTTCACTAGTTCTGTTTACAGGTTCTCACTCTGACGGAACCTGTGAACTCTTGTAAAGCTGAAGCAAGCTTTGTCGATCTACCATTGGAAACCTGTCAACTCTTAAAATCACGAAATGGCCTTTCTTGGTTGGGGTCACATCGACAGGACAGTAGCAAAAGCTGCAAAATGCCCCCCCCGCCGTTGCCGAACTGCCCAAAATTTTGTTCTTCATTACTATATATGCTTCTCGCACAACTGTCTTGATAATTCCTTACCCTAGTTGCTTGTCGCGAGTAATGTTCCATCTTGGCATTCCAGGCGCGGTCATTCCACTCTGTGAGTCGAACTTGTTGGGTAGCGGCTTGCATTGATAGGAAAGTGTTTCCATTTTTCAACTGTTCCAATGTCCATCTCTTACGATGGGTCACGTTCTCTCTTTGATCGTCCTGAAATGAAGGAACGGCTCAAAAAGACGCCTCAAATTTTAAGCAATTTTTTTCTGTGGAAATCTATGTTAGCTGGTTGTTGTAGTCAGCTTGAAGGATTAGCGAAGTGTAAAAAACGCTTGGGTTTCGCGGCGGAACATTTGCAGGAAACAAGAAATATATCTGTTCGCGCATTCATGGATGTAGGGGACGGGAAGCTTGCAAAACGCAAAATTGAGGTTGGTAGAAAGAATCGCATACCTCTTCTCCCATCGTGCTTGCCGTGTGGTGGTGGTTCAACTGGCTGCCGTCGTCTCGAGAGGTACTGAGCAAGCAAATCCCGCCCACGTTGAGCCACTTGAAAAGAAGCTCTAGCTAATCGCTGCAATTGTCTGCTCTCAAAGAAAACTAATCGATCTAAAGTCAATAGAAGAAATTTCGGCACTTTCCTTCACTTGGGCCCACATTTTCGTCTACTGTGCTTATTCCACTTGATAGGGACGAACACTCGCAGGAGTCGGACGCCTTCTGGGAGAGGGATGTCTGCAGAACCTACGCACCAAGTTTTTGAACCCTCCACATCTAGTGAGGCTAAGGCTCTCAAATCTGCAATCGCGTAAAATGTCTCTGAACAATGAATGGACCCCTTCGCTGCTTTCGATCATATTTTCCTGTGAAAACCTACTCATCCAATGCGGATAGCTGTAGCGAGTGCACGTCAGCTCTTCACAGATTCACTGCGCACTCAAACACAGATTGCGCACACTCACCTCTGAGCGCGCGTATTTGGCCTCGTGACGTGTGGTGCGCGTCGCAGCCGCAGGTTAGCGTGACACCTTTCTCAAACAACAAGAGCATTGGGAAAGAGGACTGAAGGGTAGCGTATCCGGGTGTCGTCTCCTAACTCCTCGAAGTGCAGCACTTGTGCCGATATCAAAATCCCGCGGCGAACACCCAGTCAGAGGGTGGAACAACCAGTGATAGGTAATAGAGAAGTGAAGCGTTTGGTTAGGCGTGTGGCTAGCTGTGCGGCAAGCCGCGAGGGCGAGTATGGACGATAGCACTTTAACCTTCCGCTACCCTCCAGCCACGTGTTTCCGCCGTTGAGCGAGGAAAAGTGCGCTACGCTACGGCCCAACTGCACGGCCCAATCCATCTGCACATGCGCAGTTAAAGTTGATGTCTGATGCCCAATTTCCAATTGATGATTGCCAATGACAAAACATTGTAGCGTTTGCCGTCGGAGAGTACTCTCGACTGACGAGAACGATTTGAATCGCTCGGCTTTATGTGGGGCGAATGAGGCGATTGAACAGGTCAGTATTCCTTCTTTAACTCCCAGCACTGCCCTATAACAGTTACTCGGGGTTTGGCACTATAACGAGCAACGGTGGCCTTCTTGTAGTTGTGTGGTATCATCCATTTGTCGATCTGATTGCCGAGGAACAGGCAATATACACCGACAGCGACGATTTTATTCTCTGTATAGAGCCGCCCAAAAGCCACAGTGCAGAAATCTTTGCTATGATGATCTCTACTTTGTGCCACGCTAACCTCTCATGATAAACACTAGGCGGCGGCTTTTTATCTGCATATAATCTTCATGCAAAAACTTGGACGATGGCGAGTTTTGGCTCGTGGTCCAAGACCACCCATATTTCATCTAGGTGCCGGGTGCATTTTCACAGTCGTGAATGACATCTCATGCTGAGAACATTACTGCTAGAGGCATAGAATCGGTACTGCGTTCGTGCTTCTACAAGAAAATTAGGTACCCATGCGCACACCCTCTTGACCATCCTCAGTTGGACATAACTCGCGCAGCAGTTGCTTTCGTGCTTCTACAAGAAAATTAGGGAATTTGTTGTCGTGGCTGGAATGTCAGACTCGCGGGGAAGCTCGACAAAGGTGCTCTGGGATCAGACATTCAGTGCGCTTGACTTCATCCACCCTTTTTTCTTGTGCAGGATGAACATTATGGGACCATCCACGACAACAAATTTTTTCCTTTCTTCCTTCTTCGGGCTCCTGAACCAAACCTTCCACCTTGTATTTCGAGAACACCATTACACACAACTATTTGGTCCCCGGCGCCGGTCGAATTTGAGCAGCGCCTTTCCTCTTATGACGTCTGATTTGAAAATCGGGCGCTGATTTTCACCACTCGGGCTTCTTTTCAATTTCTCGAGAGCTTCCTCTGTGGGTAGGTTCGCCAAATTTCACAGATACACAGCTGAAGGTACTAGCCTCCAAATGGTATACTAGCCCTCTTCCCTATCCCCTTTGCTTTTCTGCCATTCCTCTATATGTCACGGCACTTTTGAATGGAGATGAGCTAATATATGGCGCATGATGGCGTTCGTAGACGACCTGTAGCCGGATGTCTCAGGAAAAAAAAGCGAAAAGTAGCGTGCGAAAAACACCCCCAATACACTGTAGTTTCGGCTGCGGGCAGTTGGGGTCAGCGCGGATTCGTGAGTAGGCAGTGTCAGGCGGGATGAGTTTGCCGCGGTGCCAAACTCGTTCTCCACCAGTTGTTAAAGCGATTAAATGATATGACTGTATTACAGCCTTCGTATTATTCGTTTTCTACCACTTTTTGTCACATGCGCGCTTCAACAAGAAGGCAGCGAACGGCTTAGACGGGTGACACACTCATACTGCCTGACACGCCCAACCGTCCGCAGCGAACAAGAGTGTAACGACCTGCAGCGCTGGACGAGTTCTTCGAATCTGCTCGTTTATTGCTAGCGGAGCGACATTCTGCCGCACTGGCACACTAATCGTTTCTTCACATCATCCAATACGAATGCCATCTAACAGTGAAAAAAAAAACAAAAGGCTGGTGTGAAATTGGGATTCGTGACACAAAACAGCTTTTTCTGTCACGGTTTCAAGTTGTCAACTTGAAAGGCGTCAAAACTGCCATTTGTGAGGCCGCAGCGCCTTTGGCTCTGCGAAAGAGGGATAATCTCAGAGACTGGGTGCCAGACTACTTGTACAAGGAGGGGCGCCTACGGCTTGCTCGAGCGTGGCGACTGTCCCTGAGACAGACACCGCAATCAACTTGTGTAGGAGCATTGCTTGCTTGAGATGACGCGGGCCGCAATCGCAAATGATACCAACTTCTCATCTCCATTAATCAGGTGTCCTGGGACCTGATGATGAGGGCGAGCAGGGAAAAAGTGTCACTGTCATGTCCAAAACGTTTCCAAGCCCTCCTGTCATATATTCTCTTCTCTAAGTATTTGCAGCTACTTGCTACTAGTTATTGTTGCTTACTTCTTTTTATAACCTTCAGTAGGTTCTCTTTGTTTTCAGTAAACAAGGAACAGTCGTAAACACTTGGCGAACATTTATAAACTTGAAGTTAGAGCATTTCTTTAGGTTTTTTTTCTTTGTTCTTCTTCTTCTTCTTATAGTAAAAAAAAAAAAACCCCCCGGAAAGCTTTTGCATTTTTCAGTTTGCTTGAATGGTCTCCTCGACATTTTGGCATGAAGGCCTTCTCTTTACATTTTCGATTTGCCTTTCCGTTGTCGGCGTGGACTGGCCCACGTCTAGCACCCGCGATCTTCTTACTTGTTTTCGATTGCCTTTTTCGATGCGCATACTGTGCACTCTGGACGGGCCGTCCGAGTGTCCCTATAGGGCTCTTGGTATCGTTCTCTGAGGAGAAGCTTCTGCTTTTTCTCTGCAATTTTTAGCATTGTATAAAGCATTAATATAGCCACTGTGTTATGCATTACCCTTCTAGCTTTCTTCTTTTCTCTTCTTGATATCAGTTTACCAAATAGTACCACGGAAATAATTATCGTGGGAATGACGAACAACATTCAAAACGAAACAGAAATGCTGGAATGTTGTTTTCTCACAGCTAGAAAGCAGCACCAATGTGTGCATGTCCACGTGATTCATGTGTGGAAGGCCGATTTCGTGAGTATTTGTGGGAATCAGGGCCCTATGCGCGGTAAGGTAGTGTCGCTCGTTATGTGCAACTTTTTACCTTTTTCCCATTACAACTGTTGTCGGGTCTTCTTGGTGTATGTCGTCTAGCTCGCATGTGTGCTCTCTCGGCCAAAATGCGTGAGCAATGCGCGGCCAACTCGTGACGAGGACATGGCTCCGCCCCTTGGCTACGGCGAGCCTAATTTTCATTTTTAAGCGGTACCTGATGTGCGGTTGTTCGGCTACTAACTCTCCCCCATTTCGAATGACAAGAGAAGAAGTTAGGGCAAAAGAGCCCACACCAACAAAAGAGAACTCGTCCAACCGCGCCCAATCCTCGCCGGTCACTTATAGAAGCGCGGTGCAGTACGAAGTTCTATATGAGGCATTTTGCATGGGCACTCCTTCCTTTTTTCCTTCACCCTGTACTGCTTATCATTCTATTGTCAGTGAACCCTGTTTGGGCCGGAAACTATCCATTTTGTAGAGAGACGTGCCTTTAATTAGGAGCCCACTCATCGAGTGATGGTGTGACGGTGAGGGCGACGGACGACACTTTAGACACATAAAGACTATTTTTTACGATTTATTGCCCCTTTGTGGACAAGATAATCCGGACCACAACAACAGAATGTGGCACTTTTGCGTCTCAAAGTTTTGCTGAAAGGCTACCGGTTAGGGCAAAAGCGACGCTCCGCCCCTTGTCCCCTTTTACGCCCAACACTCATTTCTAAAGGCATCGCGGTGATACGGTTGTTCCACTACTTTTTCCAATTTTTGGATCACTGATCTTGCCGTATGCTCATACAAATTTGGATCAGGAGGGTCCTATTCAGGACATTCCCGACGGCTCTTTTTCTGCCTTTTCTGCTCCAATGATTTATCTACCAGCTTGTCAGTTGTATTGAAACCCCACTAACCATGTATGTCTATCGTGGAGCGCGCCTTTGAAGGTATGGGACACGATAATTTGGTACTCAGTCGAAAATGATAGAAGGGGTGCTCTATAATGGGAAGATGGCGAAAAGCGGACGAAAGGAGTCGAAAACCTGGCAAAAAAACCCTTTGTTCTAAACGACAAGAAATCAACTTTGGACGAGTTCTCTGTTGGCATCGTCGCAATAACAATTACGTTGGATACATCTGCACGTATGTGTCCTCATCATTACGTACTGTCGGGGCGGTTCAGTGCGGCTGCGTTTGGCGCACGGGGCCAACAGTCGTCATTGGACCAGGTTTGCTGATGCGGGCTATATGATAAATTACTGCTATTATATCCTCCGTATGACTCAGTTTTACCACCTTTTTTCTCATCCGCGTATTCAACAAAGCTTCCAAACAGTGTGCACACACATACTGGCTTGACCACGCCCCCACCCGGTTCCCAATGATGAGGACTGTATGTACTCATATATCCGCCCAGCACAGTAAGCACTTTCATGTCAATCCCCTTTGCCCTTCATAGTGCACTTCGAAAATAAAGCGCATCACGAGATCGCGATCGATCGACATCGTGGGCGCGGCAGCGCGTTGCGCGGCGTCCGAATCGTAGTGATTCAGCTTGATGGCGGCGCATTAGGCTACAGGATCACCTTCCGTGAAAAGGGGCTATGCGGCGCTTGCTCAGAGGAGGGGTGGGGGGGCGAATTCAGTCCCCACTAGGCCGTAGTGCATATAGTGATCCTACATGTCCTGGGAATTCATCGTGATAACTGCCTTCAATTGCTCATTATTTGCTATGCCCTTTTGGGGCAAGGAGCATCTTTAATCTTTAGTATCTGATTTCAGAGGGTTTTGAGTTGGCGATGAAAATCCAGTATATGAACAGACTTATAAATAACAATAGACACGCTTTTCTCCCCGGGTTCTCCATTTCTCGATCAGTGCCGAAGTGGTTGTGATTTGCTGACTCATGCTTGTTTCCTCTTGACATCGTGCTGCCTGAAAATTTTCACGGCTTGTACTTGTGCTTTTTTCAACAATTTTGTACTTATCTACATTGCACACATGACTCGAAGGGAAACGTTGTCTCATTGCACAGCAAAGAAGGAGTAAATTCGTCATTGAAAATGCCGTCGCCGCTGGTCGGTCCGAATGCGGCACGTGGGCGGAGGAGCCGAGGAGAGAGAAGGGGGGGAGGGGGGCGTGGAAAGCACCCTGTTAGATTCCTGCGTGTTGAGACCTGTAATCTATTCGTTGAGACCTGTTAACTTTTGACAAGATGGCCTTCTTGCAATCTTTTCCCAAGCATCATTTCCATAGCTCGACGCCAGCATGCCATTAAGATGTCAAGGCCGCAAGCACTACGCATAAAGCAAAAAGTTTCGTAAATCTCTCTTAATACCTGAGGAAACGTGACAGTCCTGCCGTATAGTATTGCCGCTCGCTGTGGATGATGGAGGCGTGTCAGGGAGAACGGTTTGGCGCTGTGTTAGTCCTTCCCTTTTCTTTTCTTTCGGCAAGCGACAAGACTGTATCATATCGTGTGCTCACGAAAAAAAGCCTACTTTTGAAAAATACATATGACCCAACCTCCCATCAACCTAAAACTTCTACTTACGGCAGGTTAGCTCAACGGCGCCAGGAGTGGTGGAATGGGCACGCCCACAGCTGCCTTTTCTACCGGTAGTGATCGGTTTGTGATGCATGAAGAAATCAACCAGAGGCAGAAAGCGCTAGGATGGCTCACCCCATGCTCGTGACACCGCCGACCTGTTTGCGATAATATCAAGGGTAACTGAAAGAAATTCTTAGTGCAAGCGATCTCGCACTCGGGATTGATGATGAGTTTTTCTTTACTAAGCGCTCACAATGAAAAATGTTTGTGCTTTCGAATGTCGTTGGAGTTTATACTTTGCAACAGCGTCCACCAGCGACAATCAGCGTTTCGAGCGTCCGTCAGCGTCGACGACTAGGGAAGGATGAATACCATCGATTTAGCGAATGGCAACCACTATCACGTTTCACCAGCCTGCTTCCTTCATTACTAAAAATCCTGCCGCTTCGGACGCTGATGGACACTGGTAGGCGCCCGTTCGCTAGATCGATATCTACAGGGAGGCCAAAAGACACTTTTTATTCCTCGAATTTCGAGAGGATATAACTTACACTTTATTGAATTCCTGTGACATTTCCCACCACCAAATTCAACAACACATTGTACACTATCACGAAACTCCGCCACAGCCTTGTGGACGAAGGCCATCGAGAGATTCTGCCACGCGACCGTGAGTGGGTGCCTGAGATCAGCGAGGTCGTTGATTTCTCCGTCATTGTAGACCATCCTGTTGAGCTCACCCCGAACCCGTAACCAAGGTAGCGTTAATCTCTAGTTGACAAAACCTTGCGATTTCTGTCTTCTTTCAGGTTCTTAACACCCTCGATTCCAAGCAGGCGAGGAGTTCTTCATGCTGCTGGCACTCTAATGCTGTAGCCAGTACGACGTTTCGAGACGGTCAGCAGCGAAAACCAATGCGGGATGTATTTTCTCACAGCTGCCGTCGATGGTAACGCCATGCGTTGACTTTCACGTTCGGTGTCTACCAAGAAAATATCGGTCGTCCCTCTCAGCAACTTCCGCGTTCATAACCATTAACCAAGGCCCTTTTGGCGTCTGCGGTGAGATTTGATATCCTGAACCGCTAGCGGACATCTCTGGAGCTGCTTCGGTCTTTGTAAGTATTCCAATCAAGAGTGTTGGTCTCCAGGTAGCTGTCCATGGGTGACTCCATGCAAGAAGTTCCGCAGCTGTTTGGTGGTGACGTGACTTCCATAGACCTTCTCCAGTTCGGCTGCGATTGGAGTGGGCTCCATATTTTGGTGTACATGGAGATGAAGGACGATAGCCTGCCTGCTCCTGCTCATCGAGGAACATCTTGGGATATCTTCCGCCCTGGTACTCGTATCCACGTCTTCTCTCTGGGCTGCGTAAACTTTACTGATATGTGACTCGGCCGAAGTGTCCTTTGGGTCCCCCCTGTACACTTTACTGGTCGCTGGACGCCTGAACGAAACGCTCGAAACGCGATGGTCAGCTGGATAGGGTCTCTGTTTTTTTTTTTTTTTTTTTTTTTTTTTTTTTTTTTTTTTTTTTTTTTTTTTTTTTTTTTTTTTTTTTTTTTTTTTTTTTTTTTTTTTTTTTTTTTTTTTTTTTTTTTTTTTTTTTTTTTTTTTTTTTTTTTTTTTTTTTTTTTTTTTTTCTTTTTTTTTTTTTTTTTCTTTTTTTTTTTTTTTTTTTTTTTTTTTTTTTTTTTTTTTTTTTTTTTTTTTTTTTTTTTTTTTTTTTTTTCGCCGCAAGGTATGAGCGCAGCCTCACTGGCCCCTATGGTTGCATGTGTGATACACAATATGAAAGCGGTACCATGTCGTTGCTTCAGAGAACTTTAATTAGCTTTGCGGACAGCGTCGGAAATTTAACGAGGGCCCTGGGAATAGGTGGCCGAGAAAGGTGTGAGAAATCATGATACACCCATCTTATGATCGGCGCGCGACAAGAATGCTGCATGATTTTTAAAGAGCAAGCGGTCAGTGGAAGGCTGAGCATCCGGGTGGTAAACTTTTGATTCAGTCGATTGTTGTTGTTGGTTTTCTCCGAAATTTTTCCGTTCTATGACTGCTCATGCTGACGTAGAGGCACGGTCCGCGATAAGGAGTGTAGGTAATGGTGTTGAAATATGGAAAAAATGGCCAGTGACTCATCTAATAAGAGAGAAAGGGAACGTCGAAAAGGTCTCCCATAGGCCTCAGCCTCAAACAGTTGTATGGGTAAAAAGCCAAAGGAACGAGTGCTGGGACAAGTCCAGCCAGCTAATTCCTTATCGACTCCACATCTCTAGAAGGATGTTTTTTTTTTTTTTTTATGGCAAGAGAATCGTAATTCGCCGCGCCAGTGGGCGTCGCGTGCGACGTCACGCCTCCTGATGACGACGGTTTCGAATGGTACTGGTCGAGAATAGACAATGTATGGCCAAAAAAGGACATAAGTGCTCTATCCGTCTTTGTCTACACGCAATCCCAACGCTTCAAAACCGAAAGAGAAGTGCAAACTAAGGAGACATCGCGCCCATTGCCGCGCAACTAAAGAGCGCCAATCTACAACTCTCTTGCCTCCCTGCAAGGTGGATGTCACTGGAAAAGGGAGGCTGCCATCTGCGAATACATTGCTTTACTGACTCTAAAATTTTCGCGCGAAATAGGCACGAGGGCCGTCTCTTGTGGTCCACACATACCCTCGCCACAATTTTTTGCCTTTTTTCGGGTCTAGCGCTTAATCGCGGAACCGCTCTTTTGACGCACATGATATCGGTTGAGTAGTTGTTATGCAGCGGTTCTCCGCTCACAAACAGTGCCTTTGCATACAAAAGGCAATTTACCAAGACGTTACACAACAGTGCCCCCCCCCCCTCCAATATTGCCCGTTTAGCCGGAACTCGCACCGCGTACACCGCATATTCCATGAACAAAACCAAGTGGCATCACCTGTTGTTCTTCTCGATTTACCGGTTGTTTCACTGGACTCTTCTGTAGTTGACACTTCTTCTTCCAAAGTTGACATTTCGCCTTCCAAAGTTGACACTTCATCAGTAGATATCAGACCTTTGTTAGTGGATTTCGCTTCCGTGTGAGTAAGACCGTTATTTCGTTCAGTTGTGGTTCGTTGTAGTAGTGCGAGACGCTTTATACTGAGCAAATGTCAGGAATGTAGCTTTGCCATCAGTTACTTCTATAAGCTTCTTCTTCATATCGGGTGGAACGTCTTCGAGTTTCTCAGTGACTACAACGACATTCCCATAAATTTGCCCAATAGATTCCAATCCTGTCATGTTGAACTGGGCCCCTATGTCGTTCACATACCACCTGGCTCTGAAACATTTTTACTCTGTAAGCAAGTCATTTAGGCTAACTAGAACACGAATATATGCTGCATTTTTCCCTTGCTGATCACAAATAAGAAAGAGAGAGGTGCCACACGTGAAAGGCTACTGGAGTCCGTACGTGTGTATTTCAGGACATCGGAGATGTGGAGAGGCTCATTCTGCTAGTTAGCGCACAGACCAGCATAGCATTTCGGGGGTCTGTTTGGTGCTCTCGCCGAACTTTGAAATACTCCCATCACAAACGCTAGTTGAGACCGCTAAACCTAATTGGTTTGTCAGTCATGGCGTCGCTTTGCACTAGCTTCACTATTATCCCACGTCGCTTACTAACAACTCAAAGCGATGTTTTGGCCCTTCACATTCCTTCGCTGAAATCCAATTATAAACTTTGCACCCTGGGCTAGCTCGACATAGTGATCACCAATACATTACTGGAGCACTGTTTACCCTTTATTACTCCCAATCATCCGAAATTAGGTCAGTTTTTGACGGGATTTTTTTCCACGGCAAGAGTGCCGCTAAAATTGCCCTCTAAGATAGTTTGACCTCCTAAACACGGCTATCACATCCGCTTGGCCCAAGTCCTCCAGGTCACAGGCGCCGGGAACGCGCATTCACTCAATAAGCTCTTCGGGAGCGCCGTGTTGCCCAAGGCGTGCCATATAACATTCACGCGGAACACGATCAAATGCCTTTTCTAAGTCCATAAAAGCCTAGATAGTTGCTTGGTCTCAACCATATCTCTTCTAGCAGAGACAGTGCGGCATGTTGGTCAGTCGATGGGCTGCTACACCTGCTCACAAAGCCGCACTGCATTTCATTAACTAAGCTGGACGATTTCGCGATAACGACTGTCAATAGCTTCGCCCCCTCAAAAAGTCATTCAAATACAATAACAATATCAGATGACACAGCAGCAGCAGGACCAAACATTTCGAAGACAGAAGTAGTTCAGACATCCAATCACGACATGCAGAACACAAAACCCACCACCATGCCCTTTCATTCTCTCAAATTCGATCGTCGTTGCTCTACTTGCCAAGTGCTTGGCGCGTCTTCTATCTCAAGCAACACACGAACCTACGATTGAGAAATATCCAAAGTCAACAATCTTACAGAAAACAACAACACACAGTACCTAGCACCGCTGCTTCACAAGTCGACTGCCACGTCGTCAGGTCCTATTGCTTTGCCTGACTGCATCTTTCTGAGAGCCGTTTCCTTCTCTTCTACGGTTACATTCTGAACGGGAACGTATACTACGAAAGGGCTGGTTGGGTGCACATACTCTACGGTTAAAATATTTTCTAAGAACTCGTGCCATCGCCTCAGCACCCTCTTTCGGTTCATCGAAAGACGGCCCTGCTCATCGTTGACGCCAGAAAATATCTCGGTATGTTCAGTCTGACGATGCCGAGCCTTGGCAAGTCGATAGAGGTGCCGCTCTCCAGTTCTCCGAGTCCAGTTCTTTACTGACATGTTTGAAGTGTGCGGCCTTCGCTGCAGGCACACTTCTTCGCTGCATTCTTCGCTTCTTTATACTTACGCCAGCTACTAGCTGGCTTGTCGTCAAGAAACCCATGGTAGCGCCTTTTCTCGTGAACCGTTTCTTTGACATTGTCGGTCTATAGCCACTACCGCTTATCAATTCTACGCCTTCCACGCTTCCTGATGCCAAGTTCGGAACGAGCACCATCTCAGCTGTATCACCTTAGTAACACTTTTCCAGGTCTCATCGACAGTCGCGACACTTGGAAGTCGAATACGAGAGATCGCAGCTTGCCTCCTTTTCTTTCAGACGCCACCATTTGATCCTGTCGGGACCCACATCGCTCGATCCGTTTGGACCTGGGCCTTGCGATCTTTAGCTTGCAGATTAGTGGGCGATGTTGTGTGGCAACTTTCTCGTACGGCACAGTCTTTGCGTCCGTTATGAGCCCTTGGTCGCGGTGTCTAACAAGGAAGGAGTTCCCGCGACAGAAATGAAGGACTGGAACCCCACTGTAGAAGCTGATGAGGCGGGGAGTCACATTTAGGAAACCTCGTATTCACGATGAGTAAGTTATGGGCTTTCGCATTGATCGATGGATTCGGCTCGCATCGCTAATGGTGACCCATAACGAAACCACCATGGCAACTGTAGTCGTCTTTCGTAGCCTACGTGCCCATTCAGGTCACCAGCAACAATTACGGTGTCTTCTAATGGTATCTCTGCTGTCTTCTCCTCAAACAGGGACCGAACTCGCCCTTGGATCGCTTGGAGCACCCCGTTTTGTCGGAGCCATAAGTAGAAAGAAGCGAGTCGCCTTTCGATAGCAATAACAGTCTTCATCGTCTTCGAACCGTACTATGCTCGCTAACGAGTCCCGAAAACGTGAAGAGACTATTACAACCACTCAGTTGGTGGTTTTTGGTTTGCCACATAGAAGGGCTTGGAAGCCTTGACCAATGTCCATTGAGCAACTGGACCATTCGTTCCCTGCACAGTACACAGGTCTATTCGTCAGCGCTCCAGCGCCTCTACCAGCTCACATGAGTGCCACGTCAACGTTCCGACATTTAACGTTGCTACGCGGACCTTTTCAACGTTATCTGACTTGTGAACTAGCCTGGTTGCCCCCCCCCCTCGTTTACCGTCCTTGCATCAGAGACCCCCGCACATTTTCCACGCTCGCCGGGTCTTGCGAGTGCGCGTCGGCTCCCTCGGACGTCGTAGCACTGAGTTCATATGGCTTGTTGAACATTGGTGATGTGACTTGGGTGTTCGTAGGCCCGTCACGAAGGCCTGTCACCTCCTTCCGAATGTCCGCGTTCGGCTCAGCTGGCAAAAGTGGGTAGTTCCCAGCGGCACCACGTGGAGGAGCGGACTTCACTACCGGATCCTGATTACGACGAATATGCTGATTAGAAGGGCTAGGGGGATCTTCAGACATGTTCTGTGTAGTCAACAGTTCCTGTAAGTGCAGTGTTGACAAGTGAGTACAACTGAACGGTTGAAAACCGTTGCAACACTGCTAGGGGTAACGGTCCGTCTTCAATGTGCAAGAGCTAGTGGGGTCGCATCTAGCATCTTAGTCTGGATTTTTTCGCTTTGACCCCGATGAGAGCTTTCACTCCATTTTTCGAAAACATTCCTACTCAGCAATCCGGCAGACCAAAAACATCACGTTGGTCAAGTGTATGACGTAGCAGATCAAGTATGGATGTGGCCACTGTGTGCACCTTGTGAACTCACTACTCACACTACAATTCGAAGTCCTGGCCAGAATTGCAATTTGGCCAGAAACTCGTTTTTTGGAGGTATTTTACCGTCTCAACACAAAAATCACATCCATTTGACGAGAAAACGCCTGTAGCTTGCGCCTTCAAAAGATTGGCACCAAGCACTTCCCACGTTGTTGCGGTAGTTTCCCAAATACGAGTTTCAGGTCAAACTCTGATTGTGGCCAAGACTTCGAACTGTCGAGGCACTAGCGGCCAAATCCGCACTTGATCTGCTACGTCATATAATTGGCCGACTTGGTCTACTTGGTCTGCTGAACTGTTGACTAGGATGATTTTCGAGAACAAGAGTAAACGCTCCTATGGGAGACAGGCGAATTTTTCGCACCAACAAGGTGCAAACCCTCGAGCTCTTGGGTCCAGACTTACCGCTAGGCCGCGCTGCCATGGCATTCGGCCGTTCAGTCATGCTTACATTGCTTTCAGCAAACTGTGACCACACAGAACACGTCTAGGAGATTCCCATAGCACTTTTAATCTGCATATTCGTAATCAGCATTCGAGACTCTATCGATGTACCTAGGTCTCCATTCAAAGTTCCATGGGAAGTTAAACCATTGCCTTGTTGGAGCAGTCACGGCCTGCGCCGACCCGTCTATGGCCACGTTCTCGCCGCTAGCATTGGGTCGCTGCTGCAATGGCCGCTCAAGGTATCACCACATCTGGACGCTACCGAAGGGACGTTCCGAAGGAAATTCCGTGCGTCATGGTATAATTTTTGCCTTTCTTAGAGGTATGATGAAGGTCAACTGCATATTATATTTTCAGCGCAGTTGGAGAAGATTACACGCTAACCGTAATGCAAAAATAAAAACTTTTTTTCCTGAGTACTGCTTTACACAAGAGTGACTTACTGTTTGTATCAGCATTATTGATTGTGTTCAAGTACTTGAGAAACGACAAATCTTTTATAGCCGTATTGTTCTTCACTACAAGACGTCCGTTTATTCGTTCAATTTGGGCTAATTTTTCAATCCCTACTGGTACACCTAAAACATGGATTTTTGTTGACCATTGACTATTCGGCCATAAATTTGGTCCTTTATTGTTTTTTATTTTTTTGCGGACCCAACCCCAATTTTGTTCGTCTCTACCAATTAGTAATTTTCGTTTACTGACCCCTTCCGGTTTTTTGGGTAACGTTTCACTAGACTACTGTGGAGATTGCTGCTAGCCACGCTAGGTCAGCTAGATCCTCATTGAGGTGATGATTGAAGACGGGAACGTCGAGGAGTCCTCGGTAGAAGTCGTATGTTTTAGGGGAAAGGAGGCTCGTATTGGGCCAGACCCATTTTTCTGAGAGTTGAATTTTCCCACTCTGGACCACATTTCTAGTTGGCCTCTCTGGTAGTTGGTCGGAGGCGTCTCCATGATCCCGCTCAACGAACGTTGGGGGTCATATGGCGGAGCAATCTCCCTCAACGCGATGTTTCACCCTGGCTGAAGGAGCCCGAGGAAGATTCCACTCGCGCGGACCTCCTTTCTGTCGGAAAAAAGTGAAGGTGTTATCACACTATCTCAAAAAGCTCCCGCCCATATTTTCGCAAGAGGTCTGCATGGCATTCGTGAAATCATGAGTTTTGGCACTTTCGTTAAATTTTAGGTGTTCTTCCATCAGACACAAGATAAAATGCGAGCAGTAAACGAATGGAGACGCTAAGTCGTTTAGTTCCAAGAAACTCTGAAGAAGTCTTCTAGAACTTGCTGAATGAAAGGTGGTGTAGTGGCAAGTGGCACGCTTACCACGCATGCGGTGAGGGGTCAAATCAAACCTAGATCGACTCCCGCTCAGGTCATCCGAGCCTTCTACCCTCCGGGACGGTGCATGGTCCCACATTCGTCTTGGAGGATAAGAACACTGACTTATGCATCGGCTGGCACTCGCAGTTCATTGTATAAGCCACATCGCCATAAGAACCACTAATTCCGAATGGAAGTGGAGTGAGTGCCGCATCCCAAAAAGGGATTGATCGAAGGCGAAGACACCATCCTTTCGATCATCATGCAAATATCCATTGTAATGATATCCATATCCAATGCAAGATTATCCTTCACCTTTTGCTTATCATAGCGATTAACAAATATCAAGAGTTCTGGGATATCAAACATGCCTTTTTGTCCTTCAATGACAAGATCACCATCAATCTCGTTGCAAAATTTGTCGAATTCTTCAAGATATTTTATACTGACGGTCCCGCCTTTGCATTTGTGCACTGAATAATGTAGTAACGGCAGAGATTACCATGTATTATTGATGCCCAACTCACAGCAGCTCTCTTCCCAATATAACCCTCTGTGTACTTTCCTTTCAATTTTCTTTCTGATATCGATAGTGTGGCAAAACCTCGAATTGTTTCGAAAATAGATCGATGGCTTAGGACCGTCCACCTTCATGTCCAATATGGCATCAATATACTTCAGCTTGCGATTGTTAATTATTCTCAGTGCTCGAACTAAAATCATCGAACTATCATCACTATAAAATAGTTAGAGGGTTGACAGCATTCTGGTGTAGTTCAAAACATGCGAGTTGCGGACAGACAGCGAAATAGGTTTTAGGTGATGTATGGTGTATGTTCCAGGGGCAAGCCATCATTGTGGGAACCACCAATGTGGAATTGTATTTCACCGCGAATGGGAGGGGGGGATGGTTGAAATGCAAGGCTCATTCAGAAGTAGGGGGAGGAGCGATACGATTAGCTGCAAACTCAGGAGAGGAATGGACGGTGACAAGAAGTACGATAGCTGACAATGTCATGAACTGATAATTCACCAAAACAAGGTATAGGTTCGGACGTTTTCGAACATAGCGGTAGTGTCAGCTGGTGAATAATCTCCCAATAATTTCGACGAAAAGATGTGTTCTAGAGAGATACTCAGGTTTCGAGAGATTCGGAAATGGTACTGCGCCAGAGGTGCGGGTTCCCGTGTTGCCCTATTGTCCATTTCCCTGAATAGGGGGCACAAGGAAAAATCGAGACGTTTTTAAGAAAGGAAAAGTCTTCCAGATCCTAACATGCTTCTGGTTTTACAAGAGGTCACATACGAACAAGGTTGAGTCTATCCAAAGCATAAAAACTCGTAGGTGACACTGAAAGACACCACCGCGATATTTCCGGGATGCTGATTTGTTTCGGATGGATTAAGCACATTCAGTCAACACGATACCTAGTGCTTCACAACCCTGCTTTTCATCAAAAAAATCATGGACATTCCGAAGAAAGGGTACTTCAAAATAGGTTCGACCGTAGAATGGGTTCTGAGTGTTCGCGCGCAACTTCTTATTGTGCACAAAACTAAAATTAAGCAAGCGACTTGACATCTTCTTGTCTCTTTTTGTGTTTAAGAGTCCTTGTTTCTGGGGGAAGAGGGTCGTAGCGAAGACCCGTTTCCAAATGGGATAGCGTCGTATTGAGCAGAAATTCTCACATCACGCGATGGCGAGCCTGGTATGTATGGCACGTCAGCCACCTAATATAGGTTCTTGCCAACCTCGAGTGCAGTTTAACATGAAGCAACTGTCCATATAAACAAAGCCGATGTCCACTGAGAATCAAAGTTGGCAAGTGGCGGTGTATCACTTCGACTACCACGGAAATACACTGCTAGTTTGAGCGCTGTGCTGCAATCCGTATGTATTGAACTACACCCACACTCTTTCGGTAGAACTCTCACCTGACCATCCTTCAACAGTGATATTTTTCAGAAGTCTTAAATCACTCTCAGCCTCATTGACGGTGATAGTACCGTACACTTTGTTGATGCGCGACCACATTTCCTGGTTGGCCTTGTCCGTTATCTGGTACTCGACGTCGCCAACCAGTGCTTTACACTTCTTATCGATCAGAGCTATTTCCACAATGCAATCTTAGGTAGATTTTATAAGATCGCATTAATAAAGCTATCGCTAACAGCAGTAATGTAACGTTTCTCTTTTCAGATGTCTTGACATGTCACCGGAGACATTGTGGATTTGGAATTTTATAATTAGAAATACTGAAAAACTTCGAATCGCGAGAGAAACCTCTCAAGCAAACTTCGGGAACAATGCATTGCGGCAGTTATTAGACACGGGAACGCCTCATCGTTGGACAGCGCTTACAGTTCGCGGCTTAAGCAATCTTCGCGTCGATACGCACGATTCTCGCTTTGCGCAACTTTTGAATCCTACAACTACGACCAACCACGCTGCGCCAATAATCAGAAGAGCGCTATAAATGCTAATTGAGTGGTTCCTTTCTATCAAGAAGATGCGATCAAACTCGATCTTTCTTAATAATCCGTTCATGGTTTTTCCGGATTCCTGTCATAGCCTTTCTCAAAGTGTACAGTGTAACGTGTCCAAGTTTGTAGCTTTAGACTTCTTTGACTTTTTTGGAATTCTCACTAGATTTCCGTGAGCCTTTGACATCCGCCTCGTGATATCATTAGTATGTCCCTACCTCCAAGAACGACACGCCCTCAAATGGCCGCACCAATCAGCAATTCATCACCATCGGATCAGCTGTTTTCGCAAACTGAGGCGGCTGTATGGCGTTTTTTCCCTTCCTCAGAGTTTTTTTTGGAAGGCAAGCTCTCATTAGTAACGAAAATAAATACTTCATCGGCAGAGTACAGGGTTTTGTTCAAAGCAGTTGCCGTTTTTTAGTTTTAGACTTCTTTGACTTTTTTGAGATTCTCACTAGATTCCCGTGAACCTTTAACATCCGCCTCGTGATATCATTAGTATGTCCCTGTTCTTATTACGGACCCCTGTTGATATTTTTGAAGAGTTCCTTACACCAAAAGAATCTGTTTTCATATCTCGTGTGCAGTCACCGTGACTTTTATTCACAATGACCCTTGACTACCGATTATTTATCTCGGGCGTATGCTTGTGCACTTCGTGGTTAGAGTGCTTCATAAGAGGCTACTCCGGGCATCTTACTGGTGTACTACGAGAGTGCCTCTGCCCTGTTTTCTGCAGAGAACCAGATTATTGCGCCCACAGCCTTTCAAATGGCCAAGTCCGTACAACCTCTCTGTAGAGGGAGGACCACGGTTGGCGCTCTGTGGGAGGAGGGCCATGGTTGACAAAAAACTCACAGGCGCTGCGCACATTCGTAGTTCGCATGCTGACTGACACCGCAGCGATACCGCAGCAAGCGGGAATCAAAAATGAGTGTCTAACCACGACAACTCAGAGACATTCACATGAACTTTACTCATGAACGATAAGTAACACTATGACATGGATGGAAGGCAACAAGTATTGGATGATGGATGACAGCACTGGGAGCGTCACGCCATCGCATTATGTAAAATTTCGAGGCTGAGTAGACCGCGCTCCCGAACGAGGATCTCGCTATCCCCCCCCCTCCAAAGAAAGACGAAAAAGTATAGATAAAGACAACAAGAAACGATACTGAATGGGATATTTGAATTTTGAACGTTCGCGCGCATTTAGAATTCGCGCGCGAACGTTCACAACGTTTTCTAGGGCTGCACTATTTTACGATATAAGCCAGAAACTCCTTTTTCAAAAACCCATAACTTTCTTGAGAGCGGATCCATGGAGCGGGAAAAGCAATGTTGTAATGCTCGAGGATGCGCTTGAACCATTCTAAACATCTTAAAAAGGAAATATTCCTCGGGATCACTGTTGAAATGTTGCCTATGGAACTTCTGCATTGGACGAAGATTAGTTTCTTTTTACGTGACCTCTTGTGAAACCAATAACAACCAAGAAGCACTCCATATATTCTAGACCCATTACTTGAAAAAAATCCACGTCGTGCTTCTTTCGTGAGCAGTTTTGGGCAACACGAGAGACCTTCACCTCTGGTGCAATGCCTTTTTCAGTTCGTTTGAGCATCTAGTTCATTCAGTTGACATCTATCTGTAGCGCCGTGTACTCGACTCCCACACGAAGGTGTTGGAAAGGTGCAGCTTCTAGATATGACTCCTTGCAAGCACATGTGATCCTACCGTTTAGGAAGGTCCGAGAGTATACTGGTCGCGTTTGTTTATTGATTCATGACATCGTCGTGGTCATACCGTCTCCCCTCAACCCCCACTTTGAAGCATGGCTTGCCTCTCTCTTCAGGTGTTCTTCACAACAAGGACCTTTATCATTCGACGACTGTACAACGTCTGAGTATCGCTTCTCTTCCCACTTCTGCATGAGCCCTGCTCTCACAACATCCGCCCCTTCTTCGCTTCGAAACACGACTCCATCGCTGTGGAAGTCGCTTCGAAACACGATCTCCATCGCTGTGACTTCCACAGCGATGGAGTCGTGTTTCGAAGCGAAGAAGGGGCGATGTGACTTCCTGCCCTGACTGGAAGATGAAAAACAACTCAGAAGCATACTTGTAAGATAACAGACGTCTTTTAAGAGAAACGCCGTTTATACTGTGAGTGTCTGTAGTAGTTACGACTTAGTGCTCAATCGCTACTCATCGGATACGACCACAGGGGTTTACGCTCCCCGCCTATTTTGAGCCCCTCCCATTTGGTCAAACAACAATCCTCATGTCGAGGATTTTGCAGTACTCGACTGGAAACGATGTAGCAAGATGGTAGTTTTCTCCTAGATAACTTCTTTCTGTATATTCTTCGTCAATTTCACAATTCATCAAATGGTACTCCATCAAAGTACGGTGACCTTATTACTAGCAGATTTATACAAAAATGAATAGAAGGTGTGATAATACGAAAGTTTGGCGGCTTGCGAGTACGAGATTTTTGAGGGCGCTCTTCAAATTGTACGAGTTACTATAAAGGGTCCTTCCTAAGAGCCGACCTATTTTTTTCAACGTCTCAATGACTCATCCTGTAATTTTTGAGCTATAGAAAAAGCTAACATACCTTGATCTGTTCCTACGTCAAGGGCACCTTTGACAGCGTTTTTGCGTTCTAGTTGCCTATTGGCTTTGATGAAGGCAGACTGAAATTAAGTAGCTCAATTGCAACATGCACTGATGTTGCATGCTTTGGTGTTAAAGTACTAGGTTGAGTTTTTTCTTGGAAAATTTTCGTTAGAAATTCTGTCGAATTTGAAAGAGCAACAGCAATATCGAGCCAGGTCTTTTGCATTTACTACTTCCTGCGTCGCGGCAACAGTGATTCATTACTTTCAACAGGTGTACAAGGGATGCGAAGGGATCAGTAACGGTAGGTGAGCGAAAAGGTTAGCAACTTTAGCTTCAGAGAGGGAATTGACGTCGTGGTCGTTTGCCAAGATGGTGGAGCTCTCATACATAGTACTTATTAGTGACAGCGACATTGCCGATTGGTAACAGGTGACTGATGGTCATGGTGAAAAACAGATAGAAGTTAAAGTCACTGCGTCTCCAACCGCGATGCTATTAAATACTGTCGCATTACTGATTATTACTTCTTAGTTTGAT